CAAGAGAATCACTTGAACCTGGGAGGCGGAGGTTATAGTGAGCCAAGATGGTGCCACTACACTCCAGCCTGGATGATAGAGTGAGACTCTGTCTCAAAAAGAAAGCAAAAAAAAAAAGGAAAGAAAATGAACCTCAGCATTTTTCTATCTTGGTTGATGGCATCTCCATCCTCCAAAACATCAACACTAGAAAACTCAGAATCCTCTTCAGTGCCCTGTTCTTCTTGCTCAGTGCCAATGTTTAAATGTTTATTAAGTTCTTTTGAGTCTTGCTCTAGAGTGCCTCTTAACCTCTTCCTACTTTCATTGTCCTTTCTTTCATTGTCCTTTCTCTGGTTCTCCCTTTCATCATCTCTGGCCTAAAGTTGTGCTTTTATGCCTCCTGATTTGTTGTCTTGCTCCAGTCCAACTTCCTAAGACATACATTGGGTCTACCATTTGCCTTCTCCAAGTCTTTTGGCTCTTGATTGATTGTCTTACAGAGTGAACCCTAAAGCATTTGCCATGACTTTGGAGGCCCACAGTGATCTGGCCTCACTGTACTTTATAGCCTCATCACTTCTGAACCCCCTTGTGTGTTCTGTCCTCTGGTCACACCAAGCTAAACATTCTATGGCATTTCACACATATATGGCTGGCCTTAGTTTTTTTCCCTCCTCTTGCTATATATAATTTCTCCTTCTATTCCTGTTTGAACCTTATCTTTTATGACTCAGCTTAAAGGCTATTTCTGCCATGAAAAGTTTTGTGTTTCCTTCCTCACCCCTGTGATTACCAAGTAGAATTAAGCTCCATCTCTCCTGTGTTAACCATTTTGCTTTTCCTTCTGTCGTACTACGGAGTCACATTTCAATTTTGGTTCATTCTACACATTCCTTTTGGGATTACAGGGACCATGCCTGACTCATTTCTGTTTCTTCTATGATGATTACCAGGGCCCTGCACACAGTAGGGACTTAATGAATGTTTGTTGATTTGAATTACTGAGGGGACACAGACAAAAACAGGGTAGGAAGTAGAGGACAGAGAGATGATCTGAATAGGAAGTCAATTGACTATGAAACAGAAGCCATTACTACAGAGCCAGGGTATTGTGGAGGACTAGAAGGAACAATGGGCTGATGAGGAGGAATGTGATGTTAGTTCAGCACTCTCAATTTACCTAAATCTTCATTTTCAGAACTGTGAAGTGGGATTAGTAATATCTGTGTACTCTATCAAAGAAGATTGTTGTGAGGATCAAATGAGAAAATTCCTTTAGGGCATGATGTTGTGTGCCTGTAGTGCCAGCTACTCAGGAGCCTGTGGCAGGAGGATTACTTGAGCCTAGGAGTCTGACGCTGCAGTGAGATATAATCATGCCCGTGGAATAGTCACTGCACTCCAGCCTGGGCAGCACAGCGAGACCCCATCTCAAAAAAGATAAATTGAAAAATTCTAACAAATGAGAAAACGCTTTTTAAAAAGTATAAAGATCTATGTGAATAAAATGTGCTTATATATTACGTATTCATATATATGAATTCATATATATTTACATGTATAAAAAAGACCTTTCTTATCTTACTGGAAGAACAAGGGTACACAGGATTTCTGGATTGTCCTTTCTTTGTAGTGCTTTCCTCATCTATTAATTTTTATTATTAAATTTTTTTTTTCTATTTTTTGTTTTATGAGACGGAGTTTCACTCTGTTGCCCAGGCTGGAGTGCAGTGGTGTAATCTCAGCTTGCTGCAACCTTCACCTCCTGGGTTCAGGCGATTTTCCTGCCTAGAGTACCTGGGATCAGAGGCACCCGCCATCACGCCTGGCTGATTTTTGTATTTTTAGTAGAGATATTGTATAACTTTATCCTTAGTTCAGCTAAGGAGAAAGTTATACATCTCTTGCTGGGCGTGGTGGCTCATGCCTGTAATCCCAGCACTTTGGGAGGCTGAGGTGGGTGGATCACCTGAGGTCGGGAGTTTGAGACCAGCCTGACCAACATGGTGAAACCCCATCTCAAACAAACAAACAAAACACTTCTTATCACACAACCAGGAAATATTAGACTTGTGGACACATAGAAGGGTGAGAAGCAGAATTTACTGGACAAAAAGGAAAAAGGAAAAATAACTCTCAGCAAAGTGAGAGAGAGTCCTCCTAGCAGGTTTCCCACCTCACAGATTGAAGGTTTCGCCGGGGACCCTTGGCTGTCTCCTGTCTATATCAGAGATGCGGTTTCTCCATGTTGGCCAGGCTGGTCTCAAACTCCTGACTTCAAGTGATTCATTCACCTCAGCCTCCCAAAGTGCTGAGATTACAGGCATGAGCCACCACACTCGGCGCCCCCCTCATCTATTTATGATACCTCCTCCCAAATATTTTCAAATGTATAAATCTTTACTACTTGCTACAGCAGTTTAATTTCATCCTTTCCTAGGCTTCAAAGATTAGAAGGAGGAACTTTCTTGGTTCCTTCTTGAATAATGACTGTGAAGTGGAAAATTATTGATTCATGAGCCTTTCTTGAAATTAATGCTGAGGGATTTGAAAGGGGTAGTGTGTCATGTCTTTTGTCATGACAGAGAAGGTGGTAAAGTAAAAGAATGTATCAGCATATTTGAGAAAAGGAAGAGTATTATTTTCCTTGTGCGGTGGTATTCAGCACAGGTCACTTCCATATATTTTATGAAGAGTCACAATTTAATGTGAACCAATTATGGTTGTACGGTCTTATTTTTTCTTTTTTTGCCAAGACATTCTTCTTCTTCTTTGTTTTCTTTTTCTTTTTTTTTTAGAGAGACATTGTCTTGCTCTGTCTGGAGTGCAGTGACATGATCGTATCTCACTCCAGCCTTGCAGCCTTGAACTCCTTGCCGCAAGCAATCCACCTGAGCCTCCCAAAGTGCTGGGTTTACGTGCATAAACCACAATGGTTGGCCTTCTCTTTTTAATTTTTAATTTTTTTTTGAGGCAGGGTCTCACTGTGATACCTAGGCTAGAGTGCAGTGGTATGATCTTGGCTCATGTACCCTTGACTAGGCTTAGGTGATCCTCACCCCTCAGCCCCTCGAGTAGCTGGGACTACAGGCATGTGCCATCACGCCTGGCTAATTTTTTGTATTTTTATTTATTTATTTTGTAGACATGAGGTTTCATCACTTTGCTCAGGCTTGTCTCAAACACCTGGGCTAAGCAGTCCTCCCTCTCAGTCTCCCAAAGTGCTAGGATTACAGGTGTGAGCCACTGCCTCCATCTTTACTTTTTAATTGTTATGGATATGTAATAATTTTACATATTTTGGGGGTACATGTGATATCTTGATACAAGTATACAATGAGCAAATGATCGGATCAGAGTAATTGGGATATCCATCACCACAAGTGTGTATCATTTCATTGTGTAAGGAACATTCCAAATCCACTCTTACAGTTATTTTGAAATATACAATAAGTTTTTGGTAACTATGATCACCCTATTGTGCTGCCACACACTGTGGTCTTGTTTTATACTACTGTGATACGGTTGACATTGTGCATGGTAAAGTGAATTAGGATCTATATTGCCTTTTATGAGATATAAATTAAGTATCAGATTTGTTTCAGGTCATACTTACATTTTTTTAAGTGCTGACTTTGAAAATCTGTAAATATTCAAGGAAAAGTTTGAATGGGGTGGAAATTGTAAAATGTTTGCTTATTTTTGTGGTGGTACTTTGACTTTCTAAATGTGAAGGATGCCAAAAGGCCTTAAGTGATAATACTTAACAAGTATTGTTTTCTGCCAACTTTATGCATATTCATACTACTGTGCTCAGTCCTGAGAGGAACAAAAAATATACTTGACATAGTCATTTGTTATCTTAAAGTGTCTGTTTCTTGTGAAAGAAGCAGTTATTTCCTGAAAGTATTGACGCACATATGCCCTAAGCTGAGATAAAAATAAATACAAACTAATGGCATCTAATAAATAGAAGGACAATGAAACTAACTGAACACATGCTTTTTTTTCCCCCTCTAGTGCCCCAAAATGCGCCGTCATGCTTTTGAACTCAAGATGTTAGATAAGTATAGCCATTATCTGGCTGCTGAAACTGAGCAGGAAATGGAGGAATGGTTGATAACTTTGAAAAAGATTATTCAGATCAATACCGACAGTTTAGTGCAAGAAAAAAAGGAGACGGTAGAAACAGCACAAGGTCAGAATTTTTAAGTGATTTATTATTAAAGTAAAGCCCTTGTCTTTAATCCATGGAAATGTCCTCTGTACAGGGTGAATAGAGAACTCTTAATCTTGAAAGTTGACCTACTTCTTCATTAAAAGTGACCGTGGAGGTTGATAGACTTTTTTTAAACAGTTGATGCTGCATGGACTCTGACATATGAAATATAACCAGACTAAAACAGATAGAAAATTCATGGCAGGTTTTCAAAAGTCCATTAAAAGTTTTCCCTATGCTTTCATAATAGAAATTCTTTGCAATAAATCTAGTAGGAGAGGATGGGTGGGAGACATAGTTAGGATACTCTTCTTAGGTTATTAGTAATGGTCTGTATGGTTTGGAACATCTGCTTTTAATGAATTTGCAGATGATGAAACTAGCAGCCAAGGAAAAGCCGAGAACATCATGGCGAGTTTGGAAAGGAGCATGCATCCGGAACTGATGAAGGTACATCTTTCATATGGCAACTTGCCTTCAACTGAGATAATATAGTATTAGCTATTAAAGTTTTAATGCTGGATTCAATTTGGCAATGTCATTTCCATGTTAAAATCCACAGGAAATTGGTAAAACAGGTAGAGATTGTAAAAGAAAAGTTGCACTCCTGAAGACTTACTTGTAAGTACTAACTGACAGATTGGAAAAATCTTATTTTTTTTCCAGACAGCAAGAAATACTTCCAGGCTTTTCAGACTTCATTAATTTTATCTGCTAGTTTTTATTCAATTTAATTACTATATGTCATTCATAAAATATTCTTCTTCCAAAAGGATAATGATGCAGCTCATGTACATGGTATTTAATCTAATGACCAACATATGTTAATTTCACATGAAAATCATACTCTCTATATGTAAATATATGTATATATATGAATGATTTCATCTGATAAAGTTTTGGTGAACATGCATCATTTTTGTTATTTACTCTGCTGTTTGAAGTTAGAAATGAACCAATTTTGAAAGTGTGGAAATGATTGTCATGTGTATCTTACCAGGATATTTTATTCTGTAGACTCTATATTATAGTAAATTAGTAGGTGGTGACCCATTTATTCATTTAAATCCTTGTCAAACCTATTTATATTTTTACTTTATTCATCTTCCTAGACAACTTAGTTATACAAATTTGGAAGCTCTTTTTTTTTTCTATTTTAAATTTACCCCTCATAAACTTCAAAGCTATTTTTCAAAATTTAGGGACACACTCATGATTCTCTAATCTAGGATATTTTGTTTTTTTGAGACAGAGCCTTACTCTGTCGCCCAGGCTGGAGTACACTGGCACGATCTTAGCTCACTGCAACCTCAGTCACCCAAATTCAGGCGATTCTCCTACCTCAGCCTCCCAAGTAGCTAGGATTACAGGAGCCTGCTGCCACACCTGGCTAATCTTTGTATTTTTTTTTTCCCATTTATTTATTTTATTGCATTTTAGGTTTTGGGGTATATGTGAAGAACATGCAGAATTGTTGCATAGGAACACACATGGCAGTGTGATTTGCTGCC